TGGCATTTCCAATCGTTCAGTTATATGGCAGCTATAGAATATAGTCGGCCGATCCATATGAAATTTGGTGCGTCGGATTGATTGGCCAAATATAAAACCCATAGAAAGTCCCAACTTCCTAACTTAACAAACAGCAGAGTTATGGCATTTCCGATCAATCAGTTATATGGCAGCTATAGGATATAGTCGGCCGATCCCGGCCGTTCCGACTTATATACTGCGTGCAAAGGAAAGAAGGGTGTGTGCAAAGTTTCAATTCGATATCTTTAAAACTGAGAGACTAGTTTGCGTAGAAACAGACAGGCGGACAGACGGACATGGCTATATCAAAGACCAATATACAGTATGTCAATAAAGTGTTTTGACATTGGAAAAAAATTCAATTTTTCAAGTTTCTATGTTATAAAAAGTAAGTTTGCAGCGTTTTTTCATTTATTTTAAATTTTATTATGAATATGGTGATATCTTAGAGCTAATTTAGGAACAAAAACAAGAAAGGAAAGCTAACTTCGGGCGGAGCCGAAGTTGAAATACCCTTGCAGAATATTCTGTAAATTATATTCTCCAAAATTATTCATATGATGCATTCTTAACACTCATAAAAATCCCAACTTCCTAACTTTAAAAACATCAAAGTTATGGCATTTCCACTCGTTCAGTTATATGGCAGCTATAGAATATAGTCGGCCGATCCTTATGAAATTTGGTATGTCGGATTGATTGGTCAAAAATTAAATCCATAGAAAATCCAAACTTCCTAACCTTACAAACACCAAAGTTATGGCATTTCCGATTAATCAGTTATATGGCAGCTATAGGATATAGTCGGCCGATCCTTATGAAATTTGATAGGTCGGATTGATTGGCCAAAAATAAAACCTATAGAAAATCCCAACTTTCTAACTTTTCAAACACCAAAGTTATGGCATTTCCGATCAATCAGTTATATGACAGCTATAGGATATAGTAAGCCGATCCCGGCCGTTCCGACTTATATACTGCGTGCAAAGGAAAGAAGGGTGTGTGCGAAGTTTCAATTCGATAGCTTTAAAACTGAGAGACTAGTTTGCGTAGAAACAGACAGACGGACAGACGGACATGGCTATATCAACTCAGGAGGTGATCCTGATCAAGAATATATATACTTTATGGGGTCGGAGATGTCTCCTTCACTGCGTCGCACACTTTTGACCAAAATTATAATACCCTCTGCAAGGGTATAAAAATGACAATGGACGCATTGGGCAAAGAGCATAGCTGAACATCAAAGCTCAATTCTAACGGGATCTGTACTAAAGCGATCTAAAACTTTACTTTCAGTTAATGTCAAAACACTTGACAGTGTGTAAATTGAGTAGTATTTCTTTTTTGTTTTTTGTTAATACTATATAAATAAACTGTTATCGTAGTTTTCATTCTTTTTATTTCACTTTCTTTTTAATTTTATGTTAGCGTGCTTTTTACAATGTCACTCTGTTTCTCTGTTTTATCGTAAAGTGACCGTTCTCTGATATTCACGTTATCCTTAGCCTTTTGCAATATTAGTTTTACTTAATTCTATATCAAATCGGAACAGCGGGATTGGTACATAAATGTGGATGTTGGTACTTAATTAATATAACTTAGAAATAGCTATAGACATGTTAATCACATCATCATACACTGCTTACAGCTCGGCCATCCTGACAATTAGATCGTCCTCGATCGTGGGTTTCTAGTTTATATAAGTATTATTAAAATGTTCTTACGTTTAGTAAAACAAATATAAATATAAATAATTTGTAAAGAATAAGTTAAGTTGTAAAATTTTGGTTAATAATTTAGATATTAATTGTTTAAATATATATAGGTTAGCTTAACATTTATTAGGAGTTAATTTCACACTGATTACGCCAATCTGCCCATTTTCGTAACCGACATGCTTCTACAATTCCATCATAGGGAATTTGACTAATTTGACAATTTTCAATATCAGTTATAACATATCTATCGTTTGGCAAAATTCTTTTAACGACGTATGGTCCTTTGTACTTCGGTACAAATTTTTTATTTGTACCAATTGTGGTGTCAATGTTTCTCATTACAACAAAATCGCCTTCTTCGAATTCTACATGACTTTTGTGATTTTTCTGATAATATTCCTTGCTTCTTTTCTGAGACTGTTCTATTTTATCTGAAGAATTCTTACGGACATTTCCTAAATCATTTCTATCATCTAAATATTCTGTCAATGCGTCAATATTACACCCTCTCTGCTGAACTCCAAATAATAATACTGATGGTAATTCCTTCGTCGTTGAATGTACTGAATTATTAATGGCATATTCGGCCTTAACCAGTAGTTTGCTCCAATCCTCGTGCTTTATTGGTTCAGTTATCTTAGCTAACATTGCTTTCACTGTTCTATTTACTCTTTCCACCTGACCGTTCGCTTGAGGTGACGCAGTTGCTACTTTAACGTGTTCAATATTATTTTCTAATAAAAAGTTGGCAAACTCTAATGAAGTAAAACACGTACCCCTATCACTTACAATTCTACGTGGTCGACTGTAATATTGAAAATATTTCGAAAAACACGTATTGACTTCTTTCGTACTCGTTGAATTTACAGGAAACAATTTAACAAATTTGGTAAATCCGTCAATAATCACTAACAAATGTTTCTTTTTCGATATAACTGATGGCAATGGTCCAAAATGGTCTACATGTAATGTATCAAAAGGAATTGGTCGCTGGGGTATATTATGTAGGGTTCGATTATTCGCATGTGTAGGTACTGTAAACATGATACAATTCAAACAATTGCCAATAAATGCCTCTATTTTAGATTTCATGTTCGGAAACCAATAATGTCTCAATATTTCCTTCAAACATTTTTCAGTACCTAAATGACATAAATTTTCATGGACTCTCCTAATTATATGGGATTCCATTTCAACTGGTACATATAACAATTCAATATCTTTCTCACCTAATCTGTAAACTATTCCATCGTTCAATATAAAATTTTTCACATTTCCATGTTCTAATTGTTCTTTCAGTTTTACTATAAGATTATCCCTATTTTGCGTTATCTGAAGCTGAAGATTGATGTCGTCATTGTCAATTACTGAAACTATTTGGTCTTTGTTGTCACTTTCTTGGATATTCAATACAGGTTCATATTCAAAATTTTCATTTAAGGCTGAAGGGTATCTACTCAATGTATCAACATGATTCATATATTTTCCACTACGATGCTTAAGTGTATAATTATAATTCGCCAATTCTAAAGCCCATCTGGCAATACTTGAATTAAGGCGTCCTTTCCCTAGACATAAAACTACTGCATTACAATCTGTTACAATGTTAAATGGAATTCCTTCTAGGTATATTCTAAATTTTCGTAATGAGTAAACCACAGCTAGTGTTTCCAATTTAAAGCTTTCATATCTTGCCTCTAGTTTTGTTGTTCTCTGTGAAAAATAAGCTATTGGATGGAACTTGTTATCATCCTGTTTTTGTAATAAGATTCCACCAAATCCCTCGCTACTTGCGTCGCAATGCAATTCCGTTTCTCGATTTGGATTGTACAAAGATAATATAGGGAATGAAATTAATTTCTCACGAAGATATTCAAAAATATTGATACAATCCTCATTGAGTTCATACTTAACACCTGCTTTTGTGAGCTCCTGCAATGGCTTTGCTATTTTTGAGTACGCCGGAATAAATCTTCTAAAGTAAGAAAATAGTCCTAAACATTTCTGCATTCCATGGCGATCTTTTGGTATCGGAAGATGTTTAATAGTTGATGTATGCTCGTTATTCGGACTTATCCCTTTTTCACTGAGTGTGTATCCTAAAAATTCAATACTTTTGTAAGCGAACTGGCATTTATTTATTTTAATTTCCAATCGATATGCTGCTAAAATTATTAATACTCTTCCTACCGTCTTAAAATGTTCATTCAATGTCTTCGAACCTATAGCAATATCGTCTATGTAAACTACTACATTTCCTTCGCGGATCAAAGGTTGCAGAATAAAATTAATAAATCTCATGAATACCGCGGGTGCATTCATGAGTCCGAAAGGCATTCTTGTGTATTCATACTGTCCGGAAGGTGTTACCAAAGCTGTATATTGCACTGAACTTTCTGCTACTTTCACTTGGTGGTATCCACTTTTCAAATCTAAAAGTGTGAAGTATTGATTTCCTTCTAAACGCTCTAAACAGTCATCTATAAGGGGAAGCGGGTATCCATCACGAATGGTTATCTTATTAAGTTGCCTATAATCTACGCACATGCGCTTTTCCCCAGATTTCTTCTTAACAAGTACAATAGCAGAACTATAGGGCGAATTGCTTTCTCTTATAAATCCTTTTTTCAATAATTCGTCAACTTTAAAATCTACTTCTTTCTTTTCCTGATATGAAAGTCTTCTTGGAACAGAACGTACAGGTTCTTCTGACTTTAGTCTTAACCTCATTTCGTAACTATGTTGAATCGCTGGGATGTTAGATAAACATAAATAATTCAATCTTATTATTTCACTGAGCTCACTCCGATCTCTATCACTCAACTTTGGGTCAATGTCAAAACTTTCATCATCCTTAAATACATCTATACTATATATCTCTGGTATGCTGTTATCACTATCAATTTCACTTTCTTCACATAAGTCTTCAAAACTTCTACTGTCTATCAATTGATCACTGTCTCGATATGTTTCACTGTTCACTAATCTATTCAATGGTTCACTATTCTCTAAAATATTCAATGGTTCACTATTCTCTAAAATATTCAATGGTTCACTATTCTCTAAAATATTCAATGGTTCACTATTCTCTAATCTATTCAATTCAATAATTTCTTTTACTTTATACTTAGAAATCAATTTTATTCCAAATTTTTCCAAAAACTTACGCCCTAAAAGAACATTAGTTGCAACATAGTTGTTGGGTACAACAAAAAATGAGATTTCTTCTTCTATGTTTTGAAAAACGAGCTTAACAAATATTTTTCCGAAAGTTTTAATCTTAAATCCATTAACTCCACAATAGTCAGTCGGAAACAATACATCGCTAATGTTTTTATAAGGAATGGCAGCGTGTTGAATTAAATTAATGGCGCTACCCGTATCGAACATGGCAGAAAGGAAGGTTACATTAGGCTTCATTTGACAATCAGTGTAAAAATATACTCCTACCTGGTTAATAATCGGAATAAACATATTTGGCTCCTCTTCGTCATCCCGTATCGGCTGGTTGTTGGCTGCTCCCACCATTTTTGGGTTACTTGCTGGCTTCTGTTGGCAATCCTTTAGCATGTGCTGGAGCGATCCACAGCGGAAGCAGGAATTCTTCTCGCGCTTCGGCGCAGTGCACGACGAAGCGTAATGCCCATAAGCGGAACAATTGTAGCAACGGATTGTGTTCCGATCTTTTCTAGTGTTTTCTGAGCGGAGGGAAAAATGTTGGGACTTCTTTGTTAGATTTTCATACTTCCGTGCCAACTCCTTCAATTTTTCGATTGTTGTTGCTGTGTACAATAGTGCGATATTGGCTGAACGATCGCGAAAACCATCAATTATAAGCTGAACTGTCAATTTTTCTTCGATGCTAGCACGCATAGCAATTTCCTCCATAAGAAGTATGTATCCCATAACAGTGTTTTTCAGCGGGTTGAAAATGGTCTCAGTTGAACTACCACGACCAAATGTTTTTATAAAGTTCTCTTTAAATGCGTCATAAGTATTCGATTGGTCAACACGCAAGAACAAGTCGGCATCTGTTCCCGGTTTCATCAGCATTCGTACGCAGCGTAATTGGAAATTTTTACACTCGTTAACATCTCTGCAGATTCTCTCAAAATCCAAAATCCACTTAAAGGCTTCCTCATTTTCAGTGGCAGAAAACGGAATCATGAGCTGTTTCACCATACGAATGTCATCTGTAGTCTTGCTGTCGTTTCGCATTAATTCGGCCAGTATCTTCTTCTTCTTAGCTACCCTTATGGCGGCGTCAAGTAGTGCTTCTTCTTCTAATTCGTCGATGTCTTCGCTAGCGCTCCGCTGGCTTACAACCTCAATTTTGGCATCTTCTTCCTCCAATAGGCTTTCTGGGATATTAGCCGCATCCTGGCAACCGGCATCCAATGCAAGCTTGCGCAGTTGTCTTAAAGTTGCACTTCCTGGAAACCTGATTTCATTGGCTTGAAGCCACTCTACAATGTTCGCCTTGTCCATTCCAATTTGGCGTCACTCGCCAAAACGCAATTATAGGAAAAAAAACTTGTGCGTCTTCGGATAGCCAACAATGTTTATGTAGGCGGATGTTTAAATGGTGTCTATCCCACTTCTGAAGTTGTTATCGTAGTTTTCATTCTTTTTATTTCACTTTCTTTTTAATTTTATGTTAGCGTGCTTTTTACAATGTCACTCTGTTTCTCTGTTTTATCGTAAAGTGACCGTTCTCTGATATTCACGTTATCCTTAGCCTTTTGCAATATTAGTTTTACTTAATTCTATATCAAATCGGAACAGCGGGATTGGTACATAAATGTGGATGTTGGTACTTAATTAATATAACTTAGAAATAGCTATAGACATGTTAATCACATCATCATACACTGCTTACAAAACTAAAGAATTTTTTTTTAAATATTAGTTCTTAGATATCACCATAATCATAATAAAATTTAAAATAAATGAAAAAACGCTGCAAACTTACTTTTTGTACCAGTTACTCGTAGAGTAAAAGGGTATATTGTATTCGTGCAAAAGTATGTAACAGGTAGAAGGAAGCGTTTCCGACCCTATAAAGTATATATATTCTTGTTCAGGATCACTAGCCGAATCAATCTAGCCATGTCCGTCTGTCCGTCTCTCCGTCTGTCTGTCCGTCCGTATGAACGCTGAGATCTCGGAAACTATAAAAGCTAGAAGATTGGCATTTTGCATGTAGATTTAAGGAGTTCCTACGCAGCGCAAGTTTGTTTCAAAATGTTGACACGCCCCCTCTGACGCCCACAAGCCACAAGCTGTGGCCACAGTTTTGATGATATTATGCAAATTTTAATTGATATGTATTTGTTTCGTCAATAAATATCGATTGGCCTAATAAAAGTTTGCCACGCCCACGCTAACGCCCAAAAACCCATTAAACGCTTAAGCCTGGCTAGCGCCTACATTTCCGCCTTTCGTGGCGCCATCTAACGGATGACTTTGGAACAGTCAACGTTAATTCTCGATAAGGATTTCTATTAAAGGAAATTGCGATGGTTTTCATTTGTCAATACCGAACTATATAACAAGAAATATGCAAATCAAATCAAGTTAGCCAAATTGGAGGTCTGAGTCAAACAATGGCGTATGTGTGTATGTATGTAAGCATATACATATGTATGTATTTACATTGTACACAGTTGCAATTGCCCGGCAAAGATAACTCCTTTCAAAGAAAGCTATTCGCTATATCCGTTACTCGTGTGGTGCAAACATTTAGACTGTAATATACATAATACTATTTAAGAATGTATGTGTTTAGCCAATATAAGTATGTATGTATAATATTTCTAGTCAATTTATTACAAGAAGGCATATTTATATTAAGTTTTTTAGCTGAGTAACGGGTATCTAATAGTCGAGGCACTCGACTATAGCGCTCTCTCTTGTTATAACATAGAAACTTGAAAAATTAAATTTTTTTCAAATGTCAAAACACTTTATTGATATACTGTATAAGTTAACACACCCAGTTCCCACAAAGACAAATTGTCGAGTTGCAGGCCATATCCGGTGGCCAACACGCGCAGTAAGGAAACCGCCGACTCCGCACTCCGAGGGCAGTTGCCCGGAGCCCGGTCAGAGCACTCGCGGAGCGAGTGATCGCCACCGTCCGGATATCTGCTGCTGACCTGGCGCTTTATTTCTGGCGCTGGGAACACTTACTCAGCGGATGATCGCCACCGGCCGGATACCAAGTGCTGACCCGGCACTTTAGCGGCAGCGCTGAGACCAGGCAAAAGCCTCGAGCCGCGGCCGGACCGGGACCTTAAGTTAGTCTAAATTTGTACTCCGCAGCCTTAGCTGTGCTTTGTAAATCAAGTCTCGTTTATCCTCTACCTTAACAGGTTTAGGAATAATAAATAATAAACTTAATATCGCACCGTGTCTTTATTATCCTCTGCCTTAACGGGTTTAGGAGAAATAGGGATTAATTAAATACCAAATACCAAATCAAAATAACTGGCGCTCAACGTAACCGATCCCGCGATACTCGGTACCGTGCGAATTACAAAAAGTAATTTGCAATTCAAAAGTATTAAAAATACTCGCGCGACACCGTGCAGTGAATTTAAAAAAAATAATAATAAATAAATAATTAAATTGCCTATAAAATAAAATAGAAATTGGTTATCGACTTTAGGAAGTTGAATGAAAGAACCGTAGATGATAGATACCCTATCCCTACAATTTCGACAATACTGTCGAACATGGGCGAGTCACAATTCTTTACGACACTCGACCTCAAATCAGGTTTTCACCAGATAGAGCTGGCGGAGAAGGACAGGGAAAAGACTGCCTTCTCTATAAACAACGGCAAGTACGAATTCTGTAGATTGCCATTCGGACTTAAAAACGCCCCAAGCATATTTCAAAGGGCCATCGACGACGTGCTTAAAGAAGGAATCTCTAAGTTATGCTACGTGTACGTAGATGACGTCATAATATTTTCTAAGACAAAAGAGGACCACGTTAAAGACGTGGATTGGGTACTAACTAAACTCCTGGAAGCAGGCATGAGAGTATCCCAGGAAAATCAAAGTTCTTTAAAAAGAGCGTTGAGTACTTGGGGTTCATTGTGTCACAAGGGGGGCTTAGAACTTCACCTGAAAAGGTAAAAGCCATAAAAGAATTTCCCCAACCAAAAACACTTTTCGACCTCAGATCCTTCCTGGGGTTAGCAAGCTACTACAGGTGCTTTATCAAAAACTTCGCGACAATCGCAAGACCCCTGACAAACATCCTAAAGGGAGAAAATGGGAAAGCCAGCAAATACCAGTCAAGGTAAATTGACATAGATTTCACCAAAGAACAGAGAGAAACTTTTGACAGACTAAGGGAAATCTTGGCGTCAGAAGATGTTCTGCTCTCGTATCCAGATTTTAAGAAACCATTCGATTTAACAACGGATGCATCGGGCTTTGGTTTGGGGGCGGTGCTATCCCAAGATGGCCGCCCAATCACAATGATTTCACGTGCCCTACGTGACTGCGAAAAAATTATGCGACCAATGAACGAGAACTCCTCGCCATTGTTTGGTCACTAAAAAACCTCCGGAATTACCTTTACGGAGTAAAGGCTTACAGATTTTTACCGATCACCAGCCACTTACCTTTGCTGTCTCGGACAAAAATCCCAACGCGAAGCTAAAACGTTGGAAGGGGATTATTGATGATCATGGCGCAAAACTAGTTTATAAGCCAGGCAAGGAAAACCTTGTGGCGGACGCATTATCCCGCCAGAACATAAACGCCTTAGAAGACGGACAGGAATCAGATGCAGCCACAATACACAGCGAACAGTCGCTTACGTACACGATTGATACAACTGACAACCCAGTAAACTGTTTCCGAAATCAAATAATAATTGAGGACGGAAACAGCTTCTCGGTAGACACATTTATCTTGTTTAAGAGTAAGGTGAGGCATACAATTAGAACACCTAATCGGGAAAGCCTTCTAAATACGCTACAAGATGTCGTAAACGCTGAGGTAGTAAACGCAATTCACTGCTCCCTACCAACTTTGGCATTTATTCAACATCAGCTGGTCGAGTCGTTCCCTAGCACTTCCTTCAAGTACGCGAAGAGCTTTGTTCAGGACATAACGGACACAACCGAACAGAGGGAGATCGTCATAACAGAACACAACAGGGCTCACCGAGCTGCACAGGAAAATGTGAAGCAAATCCTTAGAGATTACTTTTTCCCAAAAATGCTTCGGCTAGCAACGGAAATCACCTCAAACTGCAGAACCTGCTCTATGGGAAAATACAAACGCCATCCATCTAAGCAGGCGATAGCGGAAACACCTATTCCTTTTTCCGTGGGAGAAATCCTACACATCGATATCTTCTCAACAGACGGAAAACTTTTCCTCACTTGCGTAGATAAATTCTCGAAATTCGCCACAGTGCAAGCCATCGCATCGAGGGCTATTGTGGACATTAAAGCCCCCTTACTACATGTAATAAATTTTTTTCCAAAAACAAAAACAATCTATTGCGATAATGAAAGATCACTAAACTCTGAAACCATTAAATCAATTTTGCTTAACCACTTCAATATCACCATTTCCAACGCTCCACCCCTACATAGCACCTCAAATGGGCAAGTGGAGAGGTTTCATAGTACTCTGGCAGAAATAGCCAGATGCCTGAAACTGGAAAACAAACTAAATGACACTGTCGAATTAATCCTTTTGGCAGCTTACAAATATAACAATTCAATTCACTCAGTAACCGATAGGAAACCAATGGAAATAGTTCACTCAAAGTCCACAGAATTCGAGAGAGGAATTAGTAGGAAAATTCAACAGGCCCAAGAAAGGAGCCTTGACCACGTAAACAAGGGTAGGACTTATAAGGACTATCAGGTCGGTGAAAGAGTTTTTCTTAAAGCAAACAAA